AAATATGTATCATTTGGTGACATTTTAGAGACTCTATCCATTTTCTTCATCCAATGTAGTCTCTCTCATTTCTGAACTGACATTAATTGGCTTCGTTGAGAAGATGGGTTCATTTGGCCGAGTGTGAATAGGTGTGAGCCACAATAAACCCTTGCGGGTTGCGGTGGATGGTCGAATAGACCCACTCACTTTGGACCTAACCTAACCTAATCCAACCCAACCGATTATTTCGTACCTATGTTAATCTAGACTCAACTGAAGCATGATAAATCATTTTCAATTGTTTCTTTTGTAAAAATTTCGAAAAATATTTGAATCTAGATATAAGACTTCTTAGCGTATTAGCAAGTTTTGAAACGTGGTGATTGCATCTCAAATGTTTGTCTACAGTTAATCCTAGATACTTGACTGACTCTTTTCCTTTAATTTTCAGGTTTCTGTCAACTTGCAATTTAATGTGAGAAGGCTAAGTATTTCCATAACACGAAAAGGGAAATTTGAATTCACATAGATGTGTAAATCATGCTAAGAAGTAACTTTCAGACACAAACTGGTAGAAAAAGCCCTCCTGAAATAGCTACTTCGAACAGCTGCTAACGCAATTTTCAGTACTTTTCTTCGATTTTCTCACAATTGGACTCTGCTGTGATGGTTTAGTCCAGTTGCAGAAATTTATGGTGAATTCACCAACCGCTGACATACATACAAGTCCAAGTGAGTGTGCGATGAAGTCATCATGAGACAGAAAAATTTATGAGGCATATTTTTATTAACATCCATGAAAATTATCAGTGTGCAAGGAAATGCTGAATGAAAATATCTGGTCAAAATATTACACGAAGAATATTTTCAATGAAAACTACTACTACAAATCTAGTTTTTTGAAAAATTAGTGTCTGTAAGAAAATTACAAAACAATCGAACAGAGAGGTAATACAAAATTTCCACCGCTGATAAGAGAGAGAATCCCGTAAAAAGGCCAAGTAGTCCGCCAAAGTTTGCCAAAAAATCAAAAGGTCCATAAAGCTCGTTTCTTTGAGAAGTCAGGAACTGATCTCTGTTGAAGAAGACTGATAACTTCGAGAAATGGCTGAAACAGAGAAAGTTGATTAGTGAACACTATTTGATATATTTGATAAACATTGAACATCAGCGAAAATTGATACTGCTCTGTTCAAAACATAAAAAAATCTTTTCATATGCCAATAATATTTTTGTAGTACAACCAGTGTTTAAATTCGAAAATGAACTAACCAATTTGAATTTGGACATATGAACCATTTATATCTTCACTTTTCGAATGGTGTCACGAAAATCTAGTAGTATTAGATGTGGTTACCTGGCAGGCTATTCATTTTCTTAGTTGTATCAGAGCTGAATAATGAACAAAGTTCAATTCGCAAAATTTTCGAATTTATTTACTTTCTTCTACAAGTTCCATTGTAATATTTTTTTGGATTCTCATCATATGACGAAGGCTTTCAACCTTCAGAAGATGAACAATAGAAACTCATGTAGATGAGTTTTCAAATTGAATGGTTTTGTAATACCGGATGCATTAATTGAGAATTCTGTTTTTTAAAACGAATGAAAATATGTTTTTTGACATAAGAAATTTTCGTAGTTATGATACCCATTAACACTGCTTCAATTATGTGCCCTTACATAACCTGTCAAGTATGAAAATTCATGGGTACTCTCGCCCTTCTCAAGTTATACGGGGAGAACCAAAAATGTGTTTTTTTTAATTGAATTGTTATTTCGGAGAATATCAAAAAATGAAAAAGAAAAATGTTGTATTTCAAGTGTAATATAACGATATAACGTTTCGTTTTAACATGGCCACCATCAACTTCTTTTTTTATTACGGACCTGTCTAATTTTATTACAGATATTGATGAAGCAATAGATTCTCAATCCAAGGTTAAATCACATTTGATATTTTATAGCGTTCNGATACCTACCAACAGCACGTTTAATACATTTCTCCTTCGAATGACCACATATCTTCGTCGAATTGTGTCCTGAAAATAGATAAGGATATCATAAACATCATAATATCGGCCGTTGACCCAATGTCGATAAACAACTAGTTGAAAATCTAAATCCCAAACACCAGAAATAATGTACCCTTCTCGTCGTACGTTTCACCAACCAGAAAGAATACCATCGCTTCTACATATAGTCCTGAAAGCTCATACCATTATACACGACACAAGATGGCAGGTCTACACTAGGCTCGTTATATTCCTCTGGAATGCAACAAACATTGGAAACAATGCAACAAACGTGATGCAACAGCCATTAATTGTTTTTTCCTAATATAACTTCAAGATAACACTCCTTTCCAACCGTATGACTCCCGATGCACCGTCCATGTAAGCTATTAGGAACCTGAATCTAGAGACAATCTATGTGAATCTTCGACTTTCCAAAAAGGCATAGATATAGAGTTTATTGTCCTTTCCTAATGGATAGTGAAATATATACTGAAGGATGAGATCATATTTCTTTAAAGTTGAATGTGAACGTAGCCTTTGAAACGTGTGGATCACCTCAACGAATGTAAGGTAACTCTAAGGACAATATATAGGAAAATGAAAAGTCGGGAAAAATTGAAAGGATCTGTGAGGATTGTGACAAAAATATATCGGTAACACTAAGCACATAATCGATTTGGAAAACCAGAAAAATCTAGTGTCGCTCAACGTGCCTTGAGAAACGGCCATGCAATGAATGAAATTGTTGAGATCGGTACACGACACTAGACTTTTTGATGCTTTCGATAGTCTAAAAATAGCAAGCAAATTCCAAAGGCCCCATTCCAAACTGTCCATTGTATTTTTTCTATGAATTTCTGGTAAATTCCTTTTCCTAATGCTCGTGCATTGGAAAGTGAAAGTGGTTCTGCTAGATATGAATAGAAAGTTTCGTAGATAGGAATTAATTTTCTTCATCTGCTGAAACGCCAACTCGGTTGATGAAACGCGCGTCAAGAAAAGTATTGCATTTCATGCTAATTGGTAAAAGTGCTTGTGTTGGACTCAGTCTACGCCAGAGGTTTTCAGGTTTTATCTATTATATAACTAGTTATAGACATATATAATAATAGACGACAATAATGATTATTTGTGTAAGGAAAACCGATGGGTCCGGGAGGTTCGCAAACTCCTAGAGGATTTTGAGGACACCGCAGTTGCCCCCCTCTGGATGCTTTCACCTACTATTCTCGAGCAGATCACGTTCCCACATACTCGACATCGCCATAGTGCAGAATATCTCTACCTCAAAGATGGACTTGCTTAACGAAGGGTACTCGGATTACAACCCAATCCCATTCACAGTGGGACAAGATAACGTGGTGTCATAGAACTCAACGAAGAAGATTATCGACTGGAGCAAATTCCAGGGCATATTCTTCCTGTAACACTTTTCGTATTCTTTGAAAGAAGTCACGGTGATCATGATCCAGAAACCAAACCAGAATTCCATATTTACCGGCAACCATCAGCCGATAGTACTGACCCCCCATTGATGAGCACTCTGGGACCAGAGTGAGAGAAAAACTGAACATCCTATCAGACGAACAGTTCGGATTGAGGCCGGAACACTATATGGAACTACAAGTGCTGATAGTGGTTGACTGGGCGATGGAATGTTCCAACCTGGTCAGCAAATACCACACCAGAGTGATATTTTCCGAAGTCTCCAGTGCACTCGACAGAGTATGGTATGATAGACTCACGGCCAAAATTATTGATTATGGCTACAAAAAAATGGTGAGATTATTAGATTCATTCCTAGTTGACGTACGATAGCAATGCATAGTAGGACAGGAACTCTCCTGCAGGCACTTTCTGAAAGCAGCAGTCCCACAGACGGAATTATCATCCCACACCTCTCCTCAGTGTATACAGCAGACGAGCCAGAACTTTAGAATAACTTCAACATGTTGGTTCTCCAAGTGTATAACAACGCTCAACAAACAACTTCCACGAACCATGCGTAGTCTCTGAAAGACTAGCATACACCCAGATAGGAGTCAGGCGTCGTCTTCGAAGAATGAGAGATTTCTTGGACAAACGGAACAAGATATTCAGGAGTCGACAGGAAACTAACAATCAAGTTCCATGGGGAGCTGGGGCCGGCTCTATACAATCTCCACCCGATAATCGGACGCAGTGTATGATAAGTAACATGGCTCTCTAAGCGAAACTGTCCAGTTCATGCAATTTTGCCAATCAATCAATATGTATTCGTAATAATACACATTGTGTTTTCACAAGTCAAGAAAGAAACAGTATACACATTGAAATGTTAGTACTTTTGTCATACATTTATAAAATTACAGTTCAATAGATAAAATAAGTAAAATTACAATTTTTTTCATTGAGTTAAATATAAATTCAACATCATAGTAGGTCATCGAAGTAATTATCCAAGGATTCCTGGATTGAATGAAAGACTTTTTCACTGAATAATCTTTGACTTTTTTGGAAAGTAATCTCTCTTCAAGGAGTCTTATGGTCACTTTTGTGTCCTGAAAATAGATAAGGATATCATAAACATCATAATATCGGCCGTTGACCCAATGTCGATAAACAACTAGTTGAAAATCTAAATCCCAATCACCAGAAATGTTGTACCCTTCTCGTCTTACGTTTCAGCAACCAGAAAGAATAACATCGCTTCTACATATAATCCTGAAAGCTCATACCATTATACACGACACAAGATGGCAGGTCTACACTAAGCTCGTTATATTCCTCTGGAATAACGAAATGTATGATTCTGAAAACAATTTCATCAAGGACATAGCTGAAATCAAATAATACAAAAAGTAATCATCTATTCATCAATTTCTATTTTACCCTCTACGTAATACCCTCTTTCAGATACAATTAATTTGTGCCAGCGTTTTTTCCAATCCTAGGTGCACTTTTTTGGTAAGCCCTTGAGCTCTTTCAGTGATTCAGTTTTTATCTCATCAATCATTGCGAAACACCTTCTCTTCAAGGGTTTCTTCAATTTGAAAACAGAAAAAAGTCACAGGGGGACAAATCTGGCGAACACTTTGGCTGAGGTGAGATAATGGTGCTGTTTTTAGCCAAACAATCACAAACAAACAATGCAACAAACGTGATGCAACAGCCATTAATTGTTTTTTCCTAATATAACTTCAAGATAACACTCCTTTCCAACCGTATGACTCCCGATGCACCGTCCATGTAAGCTATTAGGAACCTGAATCTAGAGACAATCTATGTGAATCTTCGACTTTCCAAAAAGGCATAGATATAGAGTTTATTGTCCTTTCCTAATGGATAGTGAAATATATACTGAAGGATGAGATCATATTTCTTTAAAGTTGAATGTGAACGTAGCCTTTGAAACGTGTGGATCACCTCAACGAATGTAAGGTAACTCTAAGGACAATATATAGGAAAATGAAAAGTCGGGAAAAATTGAAAGGATNTAGATGGCTTGCTAGATAGATCAATAGATCATTCAGTATACTATTCAATTATTCTCATAAACTAATCTACCACTATAGTTATGAATTATCCGTACTGGGCATATAGAAATCCACACAATTGCACATTTCCAAGGTGTGGTTCGTTAAACACTCCAATCCACAGTTTTCAGGATTATAAATCTTGAAATATTTCAGAGACCTCTCATCCGCAAAATAGCAAAGTCTGTCTTTGGGTTTGAATTTTTTCACTTCTTTCGATGTGGTCATCATCTTGGGATTAATCATGGCTTGAACGCAAGTGTCCCAGGCGACAGGAATGAATTGTTTTCTAAGTTGAGGCATGGTGTGAGGTGTATGCAGTACAACCTGTGAAAAATACGAATCAATAAGTATGATGAAAATGAGACGGATTCTGGAAAGTCTGGTAATAGGATCTTGCCAATTGCATCAAAAGCCGGGCTTCATGACCTACAGGATTGACATGGTATTGGGCGCAGCCGTAGAAGTGAGGAGCGACCTTATGAAGCACGAGTATCAAAAACCCAAACTCCAGTTCGGCAAATAAGTCGCCGTTAGAGTGAGGTTAAGGCGTCATGAACAACTGAAGATCGCCTCGATTCACCATGGGGAATCCTACAGAGAGCCGATATAGCGGAAATATTTCCAGATTACCACCCAACACTGTTCATTGGCGAGTTTAACGGAAAATCGCGCGAATTAAACTGTGTAAGGAAAACCGATGGGTCCGAGAGGTTCGCAGACTCCTAGAGGATTTTGAGGACAACGCAGTTGCCCCCCTCTGGATGCTTTCACCTACTACTCTCGAGCAGATCACGTTCCCGACATACTCGACATCGCCATAGTGCAGAATATCTCTACCTCAAAGATGGACATGCTTAACGAAGAGTACTCGGATTACAACCCAATCCCATTCACAGTAGGAAAAGATAACATGGTTTCATGGAACTCAACGAAGAAGATTATCGACTGGAGCAAATTCCAGGGCATATTCTTCCTGCAACACTTTTCGTATTCTTTGAAAGAAGTCACGGTGATCATGATCCAGAAACCAAACCAGAATTCCATATTTACCGGCAACTATCAGCCGATAGTACTGACCCCCATTGATGAGCACTCTGGGACCAGAGTGAGAGAAAAACTGAACATTCTATCAGACGAACAGTTCGGATTGAGGCCGGAACACTATATGGAACTACAAGTGCTGATAGTGGTTGACTGGGCGATGGAATGTTCCAACCTGGTCTTAAGATGATATTAATAGGCGTCGNTAGTTACAACATCTGAATCGTTCTCATATAAATTTCCCTCAACTACCAGCATATTCAGTGCAGAACTATATGCCATTTACCGTGCGCTGGTCTATGTCAATGCGACAGGTGGAGATAATTATATCATTTTAACGGATTCACTTAGCTCCATATACGAACTTAGCCAAATACTGCTCAGAATCATCAAGACATTGTTGTTTTTGGTCAACAGAAAACTCGCGCAGCACCCACTTTGAACAACTCCTTCTCATAGTAAAATGCTCATTCAATATGAAGCCAACACGTCCTTTTGATACATTCACAATGTCGGCTAACTCACGCAACTTCACTTTTCGATCATTGGAAAAGATTTCGTGATTTTTTTTGTTTTCTGGTGTTCTGTATCATTTGGACGTCCACTACTTTCTGCAACATCGGTGTCCCTACAACCAAGTTTGAAGTCAACAAAACATTTTTTCGCTTGAATGGTATTTTTTCCCATCAACAAGCAATATGAATTTGAACATGAATTTGTTTTTGATCCATTGTTTTGCGAATAACAAAAGTAGCGCCACTCTTGCCACAATAAGTCACAAACTCATGAGTAGAATATCATGAAATTCCAACAGCTTTCTTTTGAAAGCCGGTACTAACTGAAAAAGCGGTGAAAACAATATACCCGGCGCCATCTATGTGGTAGGCTCGGAACTTTTCAGCTCATGTAGTACATACCTAACTGTTACATCCACAGTGACCTGGATCTCAGTACCCACTACGTGGATGTCCTCTTGATAAATTTCTAGTGTCATCACATTTGAAATGAAATTTTCGTACACTTTTACTGAAGCTTCTATTGAAATATTAGTGAAATTTTTGAAATGCTCAGCTATGATACTTTTTTTTTGAATAAGAAATGTATGAAACATTTGTTAAACACTACTGTTAAGAACTATCTATACTCTGATATGGGTTACACTTACTTTGAATCCTTGTGTGTCCTTAGCGCACAAATAATCTAAATCATCTTCTAACTGTAATAGATATATTTCTAGGGCACTATCAGCTCCAGCAAGAAATGCTCTGGTGGGATATGCATTCAGACCAATTCCTTTTGAATACCCATAGTCAACAGTCCAATTTGAACGGTATCTGTTTTGATGGTAGTTGCCATAGTGAACTCTGTGAAATATCAAAAATACCTCTTTTTTGAAATTGAAGAAACGTCAAGGAAACCTCATCAATTCAAGGCCTCAGAAAATTGGCAAATCGATAGTCTTACATCAACAAGAACTGTTCCTGTGACTGTCGAAGAACGTGATTCGCTTCATCGAAATTACATTAAGAAGGACAAAACCTCGATGTTCAAAGTTACTTCAGGACTTACACATTATCTTCGTAAATATATTCCCGACTCAAAATGTTGAAGCTATAGCAAACACCATCATCCAGTATGACAGGAGTGAATGCTTCCTTACAGGGCAACCTCCCACCCATATGCATGCACGTGCTGAACATCAAATTAAAATCAGGTCTTATCTGAAAAAGGAGTAAGGAAGTTATGGTAATTGAAAAAATTATTGTAAGGAACTGGCATGAAGAATGAGTTTTTTCATGTACTTTCAAATCACTTCCAGAAATGTGGAAGAGATCAGTGTGATTGTATAAAAAGGACGTTTTTTTTTAGGTGATCCTTCG